TTTTTGTTCCTGAAACTAAGCGATTGCCCTCAAATAAACATACCATCATCCCTTGTGCTGGGTATGGTTCCAAACAGCAGAGTTTTCCCTGACTCCCACTGACTCCAGTTTTGTTTGGGCTCCTTGGTTATTTTTGATCAACTGTGGAAACAAGTCAGTATTTGAAGAAAAAACACAGGAGCAAGACTACTTGGAAAGACATTTCCCAAAAAAAAAATCCATCCAGCAATGAAGGATTTAGTGGCATTCTGTGCTTTATTAATCTACAACCTCATTTTGCTCCACCCCCTGCAACTTGATCCTCAGCTTCCTGACCCACAGATCACAATCAGTGAAGATAGACAACAGCACCTCCTCCATGATAATCCTCACCAGTGGCACCCCTTGAGGATGCATTCTCAGCCCCCTACTGTACTTCCCGTATACACATGACTGTGTAGCCAAATTCCGTACAAATGCCATCCACAAGTTTGCTGACGACACCACGCTGGTAAATCAGATATCAAACAACGAGTCAGTATATAGGAAGGACATGGAGTGCTTGGTGTCGTGGTGCAATGATAACAATTTCTGTCTCAATGTCAGCAAAATAAAAGAACTGATCAACTTCAGGAAGAAAGGAGGAGGACACATTTTATCTTCATCAATGGAGCCGAGGTGGAGAGGGTCAAGAGCATCAAGTTCCTCGGACTGATGATAACCCACAAACTGTCCTAGACCTCCCACACAGATGCGACAGTCAGGAAGGCACAACAATGCCTCTTCTTCCTCAGGCAGCTTAGGAAATTCGGCACGGCCATAAGGACCCTTGCCAATGTTTACAGATGCACCACAGAAAGCATTCTACCCAGGTGCATAACAGCTTGGTACGGCAACTGCTCTGCCAAGACCATAAGAAACTACAGAAAGTTGGTGTGCACAGCCCTGATCATCACGGAAGCCAACCTCCCATCCATGGACTCCATTTACACTTCTTGTTGCTGTGGAAAGGCTGCCAACATCAAAGACCCCTCCTACCCCAATAATGTTTTCTTCCAACCTCTTCAGTCAGGCAGAAGCTTGAACACACACATCAACAGGTTCAAGAACAGCTTCTTTCCTGCTGTTATTAGACTGTTGAATGGATCTCTCTAACCTCAAATAATGTTGATATTGCAAAAGTTGAACTTGCTTTGTGCACCTCCTGTGCAGCTGTAACCCTGTATGCCTCGCTCTAAGCGCCCTGTGATCTGTATGTCCTTGTCTATAATAATAGTCTGTACTGCTTGCAAAACAACTTTTCACTGTACTTAGGTACATGTGACTACAATAAATCAAATCAAAATGGCTGTCTGCAATTTCATGGATCCTTTATTATTTGCTCACTGCGTGAATGGAAATTCTGGCTATCCTGTGTGTTACCTACCTTGATGTCAGCAAGATATGCCATAGCCCAAGCCACAGTAGATCTCAGTCCTGCACTTTTAATATAATCTCTGCTGGCTAACGGAAGTCTAGAAACATACAAGATACTTTAGTGGGATTCGGTGTGCAATTAGCCTGCAAAGATCAAACACTTCAAAACTATTTACAAAAAAATTGTACCAATAAATCTTAATGAATTTAATAACATTAATTATTTTGTAAGAAAAAAAAATTACCTCACAATAGGAATCCCAACCACACAATGAACATCACTTAAATGAACGTAGACCTGCAAAGAAAGTTTTATCAAATTAAACTTAGCTATAGTGAGCCCCCTGTTTTAAGTTGCTCCCACTAATTTTGTCTCTACATTTATTCTTTGGAGCCTTTTTTTTGCAATTTGCATGATTAGTGCTTAAAATCATCAAAAAAGGCACAAAGACAACAAAAGCCAATGAAATACATGGGTTATATCAACTGGACTTGCAGAGACCTTTTCCTCTCATGATCTCAACTATTCTATGGTGGGGTATTGCATTGATTTATAGAAGTCTCTGATGGTTGGCAACTCATTCAAATGTGATTAAGCAAAATTTGATCAAAAAGTTTCATTTTGTCTCTGACCAGCCCAACAGGAAAGGATCTCCCAGCACAGTACTGAAAATTGATGAGAACATACTTTTCCCTGGCTACCTTGATATACCATAGACAACAAGGTGCAGGGCTGGATGAACACAGCAGGCCAAGCAGCATCATAGGAGCAGAGAGGCTGACGTTTCGGGCGT